TTTACCTGCAATTTAACTCTTTACATAATGCTTATATAAACACCATTTTTTGCGGTTTGTGTATGTGCGTGTGTATATGTAGTACAGTTATTATCAGTGCTGCGATCTAAACGGTAATTTGCGGTCGACTTTTTAATTATAAAAAAAAGAGCAAGGCGAATTTGGTTGTTATAAGCAAAGATATATATTTTTCAATTATTCTTTTTGGTAAAAAATTTCGTCGATATGTTCATAATAAAATTACATAGACTTTACGAAATACATAACATCAAAAACAACAGTTTGGTACTCCGAATCACTAGCAAAATTTTGTTGTCTTATTATTTTCGTCCTGGTTAGATGACCCTTACTAATTCATCACTTTTGCAGTGGCTTCTACATAATCTGCCTGCGATCGCACCATATTTTTTTTTTTTGCTCAAATAAACAAGTGATAAGAATGAATGTTTGGCCATCTTCCTGTCTAATAAAGGCTATAATAATCAAACAGCCTCAAGGGTAGTGTGGATTTAGTGAGAAGTTATCAGCACCATCGGAGCCCATGGCTTGGGAGGTCTACGTAAAAATTATTTGGCACAAATACAGAGTTTTCTTCGATTGTGGATACGTCAGGCATTGTGTTTTCCTACCACAGGATCTTACGGTCAGTAATGAATAATACTCGCAAGTTATGTGCAATTTTTGCGAAGACATCGTAAGAGCCCGAACTATAATTCTTGTGTTATATTTTGTCATAATTTGTAATATCACAATATATGTATATTCATTCACCAGCTCTTTTCTCATATATGGGAAAGTTGTATGGTTGACTAGCGGTATATCTGTATTTTTAAAATAGGTGGCAACTCTCTTCAAAAACCTATTGGCGGTTAAGTGTCTTATTTATTTAATTCTGTTAACCTTTTTGAAATGCATAATGGGTTATGTGTCGGGTAACTTATAAAATCTTATATATTTAAAGTTAAACAGGTGGCAACGCTGCTCAAAAAATGTTTTTGAAAGGGCTTTACTCTATATTTTCAGTCTGATATACCCATTTCATAATATTTCATTTAATTTAGAAGTTTTTTTTATTTCGAATTTCAAAACAGGTGGCAACACTGTTGAACCATAAATTTACAATTCTTTGGAATGTTTGATAGGTCATTTGTCATTTAACTTATAAAATCTTATATATTTAATGTTAAAAAGTGGCAACGCTGCTCAGATATTGTTTCTTTTAAAGCCTTTTCTCTATACTTTCAGTCTTTTATACCCATTTCAAAATATTTCATTTAATTTATTAGTTTTTTTTTTAAATTAAAATTTCAAAACAGATGGCAACACTGTTGAACTGTAGCACATCTTCTTTTTCGAATAAAATAGCCATCTGAATTTATAACTTTATTACTTTGCTTGCACAAATAGACTAGTAGTTAACTAGTCTGATGCTGGTTCACTTTAGAACAATTGGCATTTTGTTGGCCATCGTCGCATTAAAAATATCTATTTTTTATTAGAACCAGTTCGTATAAAAGTGTTAGAATTAGCATGTCATAACAGAATACTGGTTAACTGACACACAGGCATACAGACTCTTAGATGTAACCGTATTTTTTTGACACAAAAAAAAAATAGAAACGTCTAGACGAATCTCGAAGTTTTGGATACTAAAACCTCCTGAAATTACTTGAAACTGAAGTAAGGATGCCGGCCGTCAATAAACAACAAAATTGTTTAATCTAAAGACAAATGCACGACAAAATCATATCACTATACGCTTAGGCGATATCGTTGCTTTTTGTTGTAGTAAAAAGTAGTTCACTGTTTATTAACTTTCTGCCATTTTGAAGGTAAGTGTCATCGCACCTCTCTCATAGAAACCCTTGCCACTAATGGATAAAATTAGAATAAACAATTTTCCTGGCATCTCTTGAGGCCATTTCTTCTTCAGCTGACTCATTCGCCATAAACTGAAATAGTTGGTAATCACTTGGTAATCACTTGGTGTGATATCCGGGCAGGAAGGAAGCGTAAGGATCTTCTATCCGTACTCTCCGAGCCAAAACAGGGCGCTGGAGGACACTTCCTTCCTTCAGGCCATACAATTGCTGAAATTATACGTCCAAATTAAGGGTTTAGTTGTAAGCGAACAGTTCATAATCCTTGACTCCATGCCAATTCCACCAAATGCACAACAGAGCCTTCCTGGCCATCAATTCAGGCTTGGAGAGCGTTTGCTCGGCTTACTGCTCTTCAACCACTACCCCTTTCATTTGACGTCACTGCAAGTGACCCGCGTTTCATCAACAGTCCCCATGGAAACTCATCCATACATTGAGCTTAATTATGTATGCAGGCTTTTCCAAGTGGTTTCAAAATGTGTCTTGAGAAAATGTTTAGCTTCTGGGTAATCAAAACAGTGCTTTAAAATATTTTCTCTTTGCTGGTGTCCATCTTTAACACGCGTTAAGTGATCAACACGTCTTCCATTACCTTTTTTTTAATTGTCTTTCCAATTGATGGTGATATTTATCTGTATCTTGCGTTGTATGAGTACGATCGGGTTCCACTGAATGCTGTTAGACAGATGGCATGACATGACTGGCAAGAGGGGCGAAAGCGTAAGTCATGCGGCTGAAAGTGTGTATAGCGGTTATGGCCCTGATACTGTTACAGTCAATTGTGCACTATTTCGGTTTCATTCCGGTAATTTTGATGTAAAATATGCTTCACAGGGTCATGTAAGCACCGCTGGATACGAAACGAAAAAAATTAACGCATGCGATTGTGTGCAAAAATAATGGATTTCTTTTTACTATACCTAATACGTGTAACAAGAGCTTATGTGCTTTTTGCATGAAATTCAAATCATTATAAATTTCCGATGCCTTTATTTCTACGTATTCATGTGCAAAAAAAAAATTCCACAGCACAGCCGTACAAACAAACAAATACTTAGTTATGCATGAAAAAGCACGCGAATATGTTTGTTTATGCAAAATGCGAATGCGAATGTGCATGTTAAAGGGTAATTAAAAATGTGTTTTAGATAAATTTTCATAAACGTTTATTATTTGATTATGTTGTGTGAAATGTTAAACAGCATGTAATTATTATATACATACATATGCATCTGATGTTGTAAATGGATATTTTGTTAATTTGCGTAAATTGCGGTTAACTAGTGCAAGTACAAATCACATATAAAAAATGTGTTTTCATATGTATATAACAACATGGAGAGCAAAATTCTGTGTAATACAAAGTGTAGAGATTTAAAAAAAATAGCTTAAAGGGTTCGTGAAAATTTGTATAGAAATTATTATAAAAAAATAGTTTTATTTTATAAAAAGTTATTATTTCATTTTTTTACTTTCACTGGTCTATATTTAGCTTAAAAATCATGAGTTATTTCTCATTAAAAGATTAATTGTATTTTTAATTAATTCTAAAGAAACACTTTGCATAGATGCAATCTTTAGTGGTTTTTTTATTTATTATTTATCACTGCACTCTGCCGGTTAAAATATTTACTTAAAAACAAATGTAAAAAGAGGTCACTCGACCTTGATTCACACAGAAAAAAAAATTATTAAATAAATTTTATTTAAGGAAACGCTGTCATGAATGCTAACTCGTTAACATTTAATGTTAACTGTTAAGTTGAAGTGTGCTGTTAATGTGATAGCAGACAGCCATTTTAGAGTTAACATTAACATTGACACTGAGTTCGTGCGGTTTCAACATGAACAGCTTCATTTCCTTGCGATAACATAGCGTCGAAACGAAAAAAAAAACGTTTCGTTTTTCATATTAAAAAAATTTTTGTTAATTGTCTCTGTTTTTTATATATTTTTTAGCTTTTTTTGCTTACAATGTATTGCAATAAACTCAGAATGGAAAAAAAACTAACAATATTTTAACGGCTCTCATATCATATGCATATGAGTCATATACGTTGAAAAAAGACACAGAAATCAAGATGTTACTTGTAATTTTGATTCAATTTTTTATTTTTACTTTATCGTTTATTCGTCAATTTCAATCACAGCTGAATAGCTTAAACAGATGATATTACCTAACTTTCTTAAGGCTAGCCGTCTGCAACGAATACACTATGCACCCTTTTTCACCAATCCTTTCGAAGAAAGCATTACAGCCTTGCGAGATTTCTTCTATTACGAGACATTTTCAGTTTAATTTTATGGAATTATCATCAGATCGCACTACTACGACGATCGTGTACGAAACCATTGGGAAAGTCATGCCTTCGAGCGGAATTAAGTTAAGAAAATGTTTTTTTAATTTAATAATTTGTCTTTGTTGTATAACAAAAATATTCAATTCATACAAACAAACCAAGCCCTTAGCTCACTAAAAAACTCTTAACAAAGAATTTTCTTTTTTCATGGCGATATCCCATTCACATTGAATGTCAACCCCTCCGAATGTGTTTCTGACATGATATAAAAACCCTTCATAAAAATCCACCCGTTTTTTGAAGAGGGCTAAGCATAAATTTTGTAGGTAAAAAAAATGAATACGCCACCACAAATACAGCTCTACTCAAATTTACTAAAGCTCAAAATGCCTAGTTATTAAACAGTGTAGTTTATATTTAATTTTCAGATTTAAACAAAAAAAATTACATAAATTCGTACTTCGTACATAGTTGGAGTTGCTTATCAATTTTTGAGTGAAGATTAGTTAGCAAGTCTACCGTCCATCGACTTTGGAATATTGTTCAGAGTACCTGTCTAAAGCCGGCTGGAGCAAATTTTTTTTTTGCCAATATATATTTAACAATTGTGTCGAAAATATGCATAATTTAAAAAAAAATTAAAAATTAAGATTTTCAAGGAAAATTGTAAAATAAAATATAGGGTTGTATTTACACAAACTAAATAAAAAAATATTTACCCTGCAAGCTATTTACGTGTAACCAGAATTTTTCTAACCCTATATTTACTTTCCTTTTCGTATTTAATAATTTAACATAACAGTAATAAATACACTACCGTCTTGCTTAATTAAGAAACTCAATACAGTCTTGCTAAAAACTTTAAGTTTGCGCTTTTTTACGTTCATTTTATAGCTCCGACCTTCTTAAAACTCCGAAGAATTATCACAACCTCTCACGTACAAATACACATGCATACACTTTAAAGTGTATGTGCAACGATAAAAAGCTGATTTCTACATATTTTTAGAAGAAAAATAAAGGTTGGAATTTTTCACACACTTCTTGCGCTTATAGAGCGTATTTTTATTTTTTTATATTCATTATTTTTATTTTCACACAATTCTGCCCCTTCGACAGCAGCACAACGTTTTATTTTCCACTCACTTTACTGTTTGCTGTTTGTTGTTATTTACTGCCGGCTGCTTTTATGCCACACATTTGCTATAAGAGCAATGTAAATTTCTGATGTTGTTTTAGTTGTTGTTATGTTGTTTTATGGCTTTGTTATGATACGTATTTTTTTTTTCATTTTTGCTTCGTCGTCGTGTCGTGTCAACTTTGCCAGGCATGTAAGGATGTTTGTTGAGGTTTTACTTTTTATTCAAAATTATGTTATCGTATACATTTGCCTTATGGCTAAAGCAGAAAACATGAAGGTGATGTTGCTGGTTGCTGGTTGGTGGAAAGCATTAAACGACTGACGGCAATGTGCGAAAACTCAATATTCTGCTTGTCACCTTGCGATTGCCTCCACGCGATGCTGTTGTTGGTGTGGGTATATGTGTATTTAAGTGTAATTTATGTTGCAATTAAATAAACATGAGCTACTTTTGCACAGCACAATAACAACCTAAGATCAGCTTTGTGACATTTTTACGGCTTGTTTCTCGAATTGAAGGCAGTAAGTTATCATTATTTTTATATAAACACTTTGCTTCAACCATACAACGGTCACTTTCTCGTTTTTTTTTTTTTTTTTTTTTTTATTATATTTTCTATTTAATTTGATTTTTCTATTCAATTTGCACTTTATCTGCGACTATAACGTAACTTTTTGTATGATATATTATATTATATATGTATATTGTTGTTGTTTTTCTCTAAATAAGAAAACATAACGAGTTTAAAACTTCTTTAAATGNTTTTTTTTTTTTTTTTTTTTTTTTTTTTGGTATTATATTTACGCCAATTTCCAGATAGTTTTATATTAACATAGATTTACGTATATACCTATACTTATAAATATACGCATCTAGTAGTATATACCAAAGGAATTTGCCTGGCTTTAGCACACAAAAGGTGCGCATTAATGAGTGCACCGTTGCATCGTCAAAGCGGAACTTTATGGCCAAGCGGACGAAGTTTGATGGGATGTGAGCGTTGCAGTAACGGTTAAGCGAGCATTAACGAGGAAAGCCATTACAACTTTTACTATCTACACACTTTAAAATACTTAAACTGAACTTGTGTTATTACCAACCATTCAGCTTTCTCTAAAGCATAGAATTAACTGATTTTATTTCAAATCATCACTGACAATTTCAATTGCTGCAGTTTTGTTAAAATTTGAAGTTTTTTTTTTTTGCTATAATTTCATTAACTCAGTGGTACATAAACACTTACACATATTCATTTTGTATTTAATTTTTAATTTATTTATATTTTATTTTTATTTTTTACATTGCACTTTCCGTATCATCATCCAACCATAGGTATCTACACACGCTAAATCAAATTCAAGAACCGTTAGTTAACACACCGCACCGCCGCTTACGGGGAATAACGCCGACGCCACTTTAGAGAGAACACTTCGTTAACTTACACGTCTACTTCCGGCGATAGTTGATTTTGAACTGAATTTGCCCATTGCCGAGCGACGAAGCTATAGCTGTAGCATCGTTTGTAGCTGGCGATAACGTAAAAGCACCAATGCGACTGCTGACCTAAGACACGAAGTCGAAAAGAAGTTGTAATCGCTCGTCATTCGGCGAGTTTCGGCAAAAGAATTTTTATTTTGCTTTGTTGAGTTCACTCTAATAGTGAGAATAAAGCTCTAACATACTTCGCTTCTAGAGAGCAGAAACTGAGAGAAAGAGAGGAAGATATAAAGAGAGAATGAAAGTGTGCAAAAGGATTCAAAGTAACAGCTCGTGTTAACATTTATTTTATACAAGCTGTTTTTGGCTAGATTAAATTACATGGAATGTTCCAAACTTATATTCATGTTACTTTGGACACGGGCTTCTGAGATAGAAAAGAGCAAAGACAACTCTAAGTTCAGCTCCAACTTTATACATTTGAAGCCTTTCAGAAAGCGCAATTCCGACTATTGGAAAGTATCCTTCGTATGTGGGCGTGCTGCTATAATAATTTTTTTTTTTTACGAACCCGAAACCGATTGCGGAAGGTCGCGGTTACACTTACCTCTTACACTAAACAGATTTGTTCATCAGCTGTTATAAAATTGCATGTGGAAAAGAAGAGGGAATTCACGGTTACCTAGTTACCTATAAAACAGGAATTATAAATTCGGTTAATGCAGCTTTTTTGATCAGAAAGTTCTTATGCATTTTAAAAATGCATGAAATTGGCACTAACTTACCGCATAGAACTCCAGTACATATAATTTGGCGCAGAATAATTTCTGATTTATTCAATCAGCCGCGGTAAAGTTATAAATAAAAGCAAAGAAATTCAAAACTGTGAGCGCGGATTATAGCATCTTTCCCATATAAATCGATAAAATTTTTTGTGGATTTTATAGCTATAAAAATAAGACTTTAATATTATATTAAATTTTATAGGTATTATAGCATTTAAATTATATCAACTTTTAACTGACTTCTGCTCTTTTGGCTATATTCACTCAAAATTATTTTTCAGATGCTTTCTCCTGTTTTTCTCCACTCTTTGCGCATGAGCATTAATTTAGCTCTGTATTTAATTTAAATATGGATAAGTAGCACGTGCTATAATATTACAATAAATAAACAAACAAAACAGTGATTTCGAATATAAACATTGCGTAAAGTCAAAGCATTTGCTCAGAGATAGAAAAAAATATGTTGCCAATGAAACCGATGTTAAGTTCAATCTGTTGATGATTAAGCTTCTAAGACATAAATATGCAAGCACCGCGATTGCAAAATTAAATTTTTTTATTATTATTGGGTGTTGGTCAAACCTAGTACTCTGAGTGTACTCATTGGGGTTCTATCCGTCGTTCTATTATTTTATTCTTGTTCACTTTATTTTATCTTTTCGTTATGGGAGTTATTTAATTTTTTCTTTTCAATTTGTTATTAAATATTTTATTTTATTTTCTTCTTTTTTTATTTTTTTCTGTTTTTTATTTAATTTCACTTCATTTTATTTTATTTTGTTTTGTTTATTTTAATTTATTTTAATTTTTTTGGTTTATTTTCTTTTACTTGAATTTATTTTATTTGATTTTGTTTTATTTAATTTTATTCCTTTTTATTTTATTTTACTTGAATTTGTTTTAGTTTATTTTATTTTATGTTAGTTTTTTATTTTACTGTATTTTATGTTGTTTTATTTTAATTAATTTTATTAAATTTTTTTTATTTTGTTTTATTTTATTTTAAATTATTTTATTTTATTTTATTTTATTTTATTTTATTTTATTTTATTTTATTTTATTTTATTTTATTTTATTTTATTTTATTTTATATTATTTTATTTAATTTTTTTTTTATTTTATTTTATTTAAGTATAGTTCATTTCACTTTGAACAAAAGATTAATGATTTTCATATTAACTTTTGTCCGTGAATGAAGAGAATATGTAATGTTTAAATTACATAATACCTTACCTTCTTTAAAATATTTAAACACACACAGTTCATGAACAAACTGCATCAATTAATTTTTTTTGTTAGCAAATTTGCACGAAAAAACCTCAAATAAAGATTGATTTATATAAATTGTACGTACAATTGGTTAAGTTATCACTTAATTGCTAACACTTAATTGCTGGAATTGCGAACAACTGCAAAGCACGTACAATTCATTATTTTTGTTTTCATTTCCATACATACGTGTATTGTTTTCGATTTAATGTGTGTGCGCACGAACGCCGCAAACTATGCCATGATTAATTATAGTTATTGGCCCAATTTGCCAACGCGTTAACTTGCGCTACCACAAAATGCATTATTATTATTATTTATAATTGATGAACGCCACAGTGAAAAAGAAACGATAATGAAATATTATGCAATGGAAAATTTAATAAAATGAAAAAAAGCAAATTTGAAACAAAATTTTTTGTGGTTACAAAATTATTCATATATGTGAAATCGGGAAATTATGTCTATACAAAATATATCTACAGTAGCTAATGGTAATGTATTGAAGGCAATGTTTAAGGGCGGCAATCAAACATAATAGCACTTTTTCCATATGCCATTTAAACGAAGAAAAAATTATTATTCATTTATTTACAAAATTTGCCCTCTTTATTGTTTTAACCAAAAAGCCACAGCTATGCAAGGTTGATATTTCATTTCCTCATCGAACCAACCAAAATTCGCCCTGCATTCAATTGTTAATATTTTCCTACACTAAATACCAAAATATTCGTATGTTATTTACTTCCTGTCATTTGTATTAATCTGCTGTGGTAAATTATATAATTCAATTTAGTAATTTTATTCAGCGGAAATTGTGTTTATAAATAATTAGTAATATTTTTTACTGAAATGATATTCGCTTACTTAATTTTGTGGTGAAATAAATGAAATAATTACATGAAATAAATACATGAAAAACGCAAAGTTGTTGTTGTTATAAATTTCCAACCATATAAGCAGGGCAGCATGTGGAACACGTTACTGATTTGTTGTACATATATATCAGGGAAATATATATCATACTTTAACTTAGTTTTAAAGCAAAAAAGGTGTAACCTTCTTAATAGTTTGTTGTTTGAATACTTCCTTTTGGCCATAACTAGCCGTTTTTGGGTGACTACTTTCTTCAGAGGGTCTAATTGCTCAGAGTACTGGTCCGAATTAAGAGTTTACTTAAAGAACAGCAGCTCCGAGTGGTCCCAAACTGTGGTACAATCGCAATTATAGTACGTGAGATGCAAATCACTAAAACAATCTACTACTAAAATAATGAATTACTTTTTACTAGATCTACTATAAATAAATGAATTTAAATGTAAAAAATTAATCAATGAAATTTTATTTAATACAACAGCCAAGAGTTTGTTATTGTATTTAAATAAGGTCTAATATAAATTTAAATTTCTACTTTTAAACTTTGTTAAATAATGAAATTATAGGCTACGCACACTGAAAATAATCTAATAATAATTCCTCTTTTTTTGGGTGTGATTATTTTTTCCATTCGCTGTAATATATACGTGGAGCATCTACCTGTGCATGTACGTGTCGTGTTATGAAATTTTCATTTTACCACCTTAAATTTTTCATTAACATCAAACTCAATTAATCAATGTCAGCGGTCCTCACAATATACACATGAGCAAAAGAATTAAAAAATAAACGAATGATTAATATACTTGCTATTAAATAATAAAACTTAAAAAAATGCGACTAAAATGTTTTACTTATTGATTTTAGCTAGCGCCATTAATTAACACGTTTCATATGCAAGTTCGAGGATTTTGTAAAAAAAATTGCAGGTAAAATAAGCGAATTTAATACACGAACCATTTGGAGACTGTTTTTCAATCAATTCTTTAGCAGTTTGAACAACATAAATTTGAGGGATCTGTTTATGAAAGTAGTTAAATTACAAAAAGTAAATATTAGTTTGAAATTTTTTGGAAATGAATGAATTACAATACCCAATATAAAACTCACCTTAGAACGATCGGCTAAAATAGGAATGAGCAAACTCAAAATAGCTGAAGAAATTTTACCACCAACGCAAACAGAAACTCGCCTTGTGATTCTTTTCGAGTTTCGGCGTAATTAACAGCCTATCCGAATTTTCAAGGAATGCAAAATTTCATCTGGAACGCATGGTAGTTTCCAATTGACAGCGTAGATTCCAGACCGGACTTTTTCCGTAGAAGACGAGTTCCCAGAAGCTGGACCACAATCTTCCACTGATGACGTCACTGTAGCTCTGGTGAAGCCCAAAACTAACGAAGACCCACGATTCACACAAGAAATAATTCCTAATGAATTGGGCTGGAATGCCATTACTGTATTGCCAATATTAAGTAATCAACTGGAATGCACGAAGAAATCTGCTCGATGGGTATCACGAAATTCAAATGAGTCCCAAAAAGACGCGCGAGTGTGTTTTGCTCAATTTTTCCTAAACAAATTCGAATACGATCAGTCTAGCAACTTTAACGAAGTGGTTGCTGGTGACAAATCTTGGTCCTATATGCATGATCGAGAAACCAAACAGCAGTCCACGGCTTGGAACCCAACAAGAGCAAACCCATCTATAAAATCAAAGCAACAAAAATCAGCAGCAAAAGTAATGACGTTCATTTACTACTGCCGATCTTAAATGGTCACTGCTAATCTACTGTGAAAGGGTTAGACGGTAACTAGAAAATGGTGCACCGAGGAGTGCTTACCACAATTTTCCAAAAATTTGTTGGAATTCAGGAAGAAAGGTGATTTGCTTTACTGGATTTACTGCCGTTCTAAAGTAGAGAGCCATAAATCGTTTGCAGAACCTTTCTTCTAAAAGCTTCCAACATCAACTGATCGGATATCGGCATTAGCCAGGTACACGTATTTTATGACTGCCCATCTGTGGCTATATTCACTTCAAAGGTACTGTCATTTCGTATGTTTTTCAGTAGATGTCACTTGTTTTAGCGTGAACAACAATTTGTTTCATTCATTTGAAAATGTCGAAATATGTACCAGATAAAGTGTTCTTGCGGTGAGTTCTTCTTCATTACTTTAACATGAAGAAAAGTGCTACCGAAAGCCATCGTATTTTACTGGACGCTTATGGTGACTATGTTTTAGCCGAACAAACGTGCCAAAAGGGGTTTGCACGGTTTACAAGTGGTAAGACGACGGTGAACGAACCGGACAGCCAAAAAATTTCGAGACGAAGAACTGTAGATATTGCTCAACGCAGATTAGAACGTATTAAGAGTTGATCAGGCAACCGTTTCCAGATGTCTAAAATCATTTTTTTAAAATAAAGTCTTAATCTTCGAAAAAAAACCGCACGTCGAAAGAAGACTTTACTTTCCAATTACACACTTAATTTAATTGCTATCGGCGTAAGCCAAAAGATTTACGCTCTGGCAGAAGATTTTACCTTCCCCCACATTAAATTAAAGAAGTCATGGAAGAGATCAACTTTCTCTGACAGTTCGTTTAATATCAAATGGCTCTGAGAAGTCCTTCCTAAACCTAGCGGAGATTTTGGTGTCCTCAGTGCTTACACAGCCGTATAGAGTATAGCTATATATATATATATATATATATATATATATATATAGATGTATACAACTATATGGATATAACCGTCTACTCAGCATTGCGTACGTTTATGCCACGATAATTGCTGCGAATAGTGCACGCAGAGTAGAATTTTTCAAACTGCAGTTTGCCAGTTTTATGCCAAGTGTACTATATTAACAATCAAGAAAAATATTTAATACAAAAATTAATTTCTTAAGAATTTTCATTTGAATAGAAATATACCATACTTAAAGTAATTTCATATTTCCAATTACTGCCAATAAAAAGCGACCGCATCAATTTCATTTAAAACACTCATAATCTATTTATGTAAATTGGCATACTTTTATAATAAATTTCTCCACATTTACATATCTACTAATGAACAAATAAATTTTTGTGAAAACCACACAATTTTGAATTCCTTGCACTTAAAGTAACTTACACACAAACATAAATATCAAAAACACTTATCAACTTTTGAGTGCGTATAAATTTGAAGTGAAAGTGCATTCCGTTTTGCAATTTGCATAGTTAAAATGCAATTTTCGGTATTATTTTAAAAATGTTGAAGTACAATTTTATCAGGCACCAAATTAAAGTTAGACCAAATGTTGATTTAAGTAGTTGATGTAAGAGTTGTAGCCTGTAGAGGAGAAAGAAGAGGCATAGTACATGAGAAGAAAAATGTTTGATAGTTATATTGCCACATATCTACTTCACAAATACAAATATATAACATAAAAATTTTCCTTAAATTTGTGAAGCGCTAGAAGGGACTTAAGTACACTGAAATAGATCTTACTAAAAAGTTAAATAAAATTTTGAAATATTTTTCCTAAAAGAAAAATTAGATGAACTTAATTTAATAATTTAAGAAAAATTAGCTGAACTTAATTTAATAATTTATTCTAAATTTCAAAAGTTGCTTAAGGCGTTTCAATATTAAGCTCTACACATTTAACTACGTAATAAAGCACAATGATATCGCATTTTTCATAAATTCAGTGAACTTCAGACCAAAAGCCACGTAGTAAGATAATGCGAAAAGCGACAATCATAAAGTAATTAAAAACTACTTAAGTTAAAACAAGCACACTCACACGCACACAATGTTCAAATAAGAAATCGCACACACACACACACACATTAAAACGAAATAGCTTAACCTGTAATATGAGTTGCTCGTACCTGCGATAAAGTGCACGCCGCTTCTGTAATTTACTATCGTCATTATCCTTGAAGAAATAACGCCTTATGCCACTTAGATATGAACGAAAATATTCCCTCCAATTAATCGTAGCCATATTGAATTGCAATAAATTCCTCTCATCTGTCTTACAAACCATCGCATCCAATTCATCAATATTATTGTGGGCGAATTGCCATTCTTTCAAACCAAACCAAGACATCATATAAATGACACGCGAGATTTTACGATACGCTTTTATATAGCTGCGGGAGTGTTGTTGGGTGTTGATGGGTAGCAGAGCAATGAACGTTGGGGATTTCAGCGTAGAAAAGAATGAAATACGTTGAAGATAAATATTGGAAAATTGAGAGAAATAATTATGAAATATGTTTACAATACTCATATTGTATATAGATATAGTGCGGTTATGATTGAGTAGTAAAATACAATAAATAAATGGTTAGCAAGAAAATTAATAACAAATACTTAAGAATATATGTACATATATAAGTATATTAATATATATAAAAATAAATGACACAGCACAAACGTCTAGTCTTTTTCATTGTTCATCCAGCAAAATATTTTGTAGTTTATATAGCTTATACATACACACACATACATAATGACCCTAAGTCTACCCTTAGCAGTATTTCTCAAATCACTCAGGAAGGTGCAATGAACTTTATAAAATTTTATGTACTGCAAAATATTGCTTTACGCATTATTGGCTTCTCACACTCTTAATTATTTAGCGTTTTCTCAGATTAAAATTTAAATTTAAATTCTCAACGTAAGGAAAGTGTTTAGGAGCGAAGGAAGTAGTGTGAAATTTAGAACTTTGTTATGCAACAAATTTTTTGAGGATTTCAGTTGAGAAGATTTTACTGTTCAGCAATTGGAAATTGCTTGAAAGGCAAGAAATTGAAATTTTATTGTTTGGTAGATAATATCCCTGCCCTTGAACAATTTCACTATAAAAGATGTTTTAATGAAACTTCATACAACTAACCATGTGGTCATGCTGTCCAACTAAATAAAGAAATTGCACCTGTCCAAGCAATTCACTACCAACTTCTAGTGTGCCAATGGATGGGAGGCCAAGGCATTGCACATGCCGATAGTGTCGCCATAACATACTGAGGAAACTTTTCGCAAACCCTTTGCGACTTGATGTAGGACAACTCAGTCTACCCGATGTGATCTCTGTGTCGACTTTCGAATTTAAATTTCTGATATTTTCCAAAGCTACTGCCGAATATACATGCGAAAAATCAAAAGCTAAGTAATGTGGTCTAAGCCGTCGGAATTTCCAATTGATCGAAGTGTCAGTAATATATCTAAGGCTTCTTTACTGAGCGATTGTGTGGTGGTCAATAATAAATGTAGATTCTAATGTTTATCTTATAGATATAAGAGATGTACATTAATGTGTATCAGTAGTATTCAGAGGAGGAGACCAAGTGAGGCTCTAAGTGTAGCAATCAACATGGCAAGATGTGGACTTGGTAGTACATAAGTGGACAGCGTCTCGTTTAAGAGACTTAACTCAAAGAATCACTCAGATATTGGGACCTTGCCAAATATTAATTAAATGCGATTTCTTTACGTTAAAGCATGAATGCCCAGCAGAAAACTATGAAAAGATGATTACCACACTCCAGCTGGCAGTCTCAAAATATACAAGGATGGATTAAAATTTGAGAGGAGAGTCGGCAGAGGTAAACTTCTTAAGGAACTCTCTTTCGAACTATCAAACCAATGCAATGTTTTACAGGCGGAGATATTTGCTATCATGACGACAGTTGAGCAACCATAAAAGCATGAGGCTTGCTCAAACTTCATTTCATAATGATGCTGGACTCTCGCAGATATTAACAGGATATGGGCAGATAGAACAGTTTGTCTCTGACGTAGGTTCCAGGTCACAGGGACATTGAGTTGCACTGCAAGGCAGATGAACTTGCTACACAACATAACAAACAACCAGACTCCTCTCCATAAAGCATACCTTGGTGAGCCTTTTGCTACTTGCAAGTTGCAAGAAATTTACATATGAATCATCAACGTCAGGATAGAATGAAACTTCAACCTGCCGCAAACGATGATACAAGAAATGATCGCAAGATGTGTGTGCTAGGAGGCAGGTCACTACTAGGACGATATGTAATAGAAGAATCTGCAGAAACTAAACGGCTGCTATGGAGGAGGCAAGAATCATACAGTTCTAATATATTTTGGAATTTTTAAACCCTTCACCTGGTCTAACTTTTTGGCTGACGAAAACAGCTGACGTGGAAATTCACTCAATGGTGGTATAACAAATGGTCAAGTTTTTTGTGACATGACAAATAAGTCTTAGGCAGGTGTGGGTGGAATCGTTACGATAAATCGGTAGCCATAACAACCCTACCTAATATCAAGCGTCTCAAATAGTGTCCTGATAAAGGTAGTTTCTCTTTCCGAGGTCAACAGCAAAAGCTGATGTCCATAAAATAGAATAATTTAGTAGCGAAAATAATTAATTAGATTAATTTTTAATTATTACAATGCAATAATGGACCAAAGTAATTAATATAAAACTGATAAGCAATAGAAACATTATGAAATAAATAACCTAGTCGTCGTATATCTTAAAACTCTAAACACTAAGTCCTAGAAAATATCGCTCCTTTAAAGAAAAAAGAGATGAAAATTAAACTTCTGAGTTGATTAAAACGTTATGAAGACAATGAAGCTTAAAATTTTCTTAAAATTATTATAAATATTATTATATGTGTCTGCAAACATGCATAAATACGGTTAATAATTTTAGAAGAATAAATACATTCAAGCGAATTCGAACTTAAAGTTATCATCTTCACATAAACCACCAACGTATCTATGTTCCCCAATATTTATGCAAAAAGAAATGTAATACTTACATGCTCTTACGTCCCGTTACCATAGCAATAAAATCTAATATATAAGCCGGTATATTGTGTAGGAAAAATGCAATGGCGTAGTGTAGTGGCTTTGATGGAATTATAATGTACGAGAAACACCTGTGACAACAATAAAATTTCAGCATAAAGCCAAATGAATGACCAACTCGCACACATACACACATACACATACAGAGGTGAGTATTTGTGCGCATGAAAGGGGGTGTGTGTGTGTGTGTGTTACCAGTTGAAATGGTTCGAATGCGGTCAAGTCAATTTAGAGCGTCCAAAAATATGCAACCAAACAATTGTTTTGTAGCGCGTACATACATACATGCATACATATATATATATATATATATATATACATATATGTATATATGTGCATATATATTTATATATGTAGCGAACCATTGAAGTCGCATTGGTGCATAGAAGATAGATTTGACAATGCGGTTTGTTTGTGTGTATGGGTACGTGTGTTTGTGGGTTAAATGTTGCTCATACGACATGTGCATCGCATAAAGTGGTTTTATTCATTTGTTGCACAGCAAATGTGTTTTGTATTTGTATTCGTATTTGTATTTGCATTGGTATTTAGTATTGTGTTTTATGCCATTATTGTTTTAAGTTTTTTCCGGTTCAGTTTTTTATTTTTATTTCAATTTTTTTTTTTTTTTTTTTTGTAGTTTTTATTATTGCAGCATTGCGGATAAAATGCATATTCCATTATTTAGGTTATTTGCAACAGCAGCAGGAGCAGCAACAGCAATGAAACAAATCCATGTGAACAAAACAGCAGCGTCCATTATTGAGAATGCATGGAAAAATATTTGAGGAATTAAATGTGATTTAAATATTCAGAATTTTTTTTTTTTTTTTATTTATTTATATTTTGAATTTGAAATATGTGTTTATTGTTTCAGTTATAAGACATGCGATTTTTTATTATAAGTACATAAATTTATATTCATGTTTAGTAGTCCAAAACTTTATTTTTGGGTAAATTTATAAAAATATATGGATATGAATTTCTCCTTTTTTATTTCAAGGCTTACTGCTTTCTAAAATAAATTGACGAACTGACTTGTTCGATAAGTCTGTCTTAATTTTAGTTTTCAACTATAATCCCACTAATCACTTGAATTTTCTACCTATTTGACACCACCCACGGATACTGAAACAAACTACTTTATTAATATATCAAGGTCTTACCAATCGAAAATCAAAATAAATCAAAACGGTTGGGTTCTTGTGTTGACCAGTTAACACCAGGATCTGAAATTTGGTTGGCCGACCCGTTCCTAAAGCGGATTGTGACTAGCGATGAAAAATGGGTCAACAACGACAACATCGAGTGCAAACAGACTTGGACAAAGCCCGGGGAAATGGCCCAGATGGTGGCCAATACCGAATTGGCGGCCCGTAAGGTTTTGCTGTATGTTTGGTGGGATTGGCAAGGAATCATCAACTACTAGCTGCTCCTCTATGGTCAGACGCTCAATTGCTGCTACCACTGGTCCGCTGGAAGGCAGCACTCATCCATCCTTTGGTCAACAGAGACCGAATTGTGTTCCAACTGGAGAACGCCAGGCCACACACGTTTTTGGTGACGCGCCAGAAGCTCCAAGAGCTGGGATGAGAGGTCCAAATTCACTCACCTAATAGCTCGGGCCTTGCACCAGTGATTACCATCTTTTCCTGCCCATGGCGAATGCGCTTAATGGGGAGAAGTTGGCCTCAGGAGAGTCCTGGGTAAATTGGCTCTCCGAGGTTTTGGCCAATAGGAACGCAACCTTCTAGAAGGGTATAATGAAGTTGACACCTCGTTGGTAACAAGTTTTCAAACAAAATGGCGCATATTTTACTTACATCGGACAAATGAACACAAAGTTATCATATTTTGAAAAATCAATAATAAACGGAACGTACTATTTCATTGAAGCTAATAATAAAGTCAAGAATGTAAAATTTTCAGAAAACTCTTGCTGAGGCGTATTGAAATTTAAATTTTTTAAGCCATCCAAATAACGTAAAAAGAGATTGAAAACAAAATTTTTACTTGAACAAATACAATGTGTTGAGTCTTAGCGTTCTCTATGAACGAAAACCAACAACGGTCAACAAACAAAAACATACCTCGAACTTATTGTACTCGTTTTCTTTTTAATCTTAAATACAATAAAATATATCTAGAGCATATTTTCGTTTCTAAATTTTATTAATAACCTCCCCATCATCCTTAGAAAGATTCTATTTGATTTCCTTTAAATTGCTTGCATGCATTACTTCATCTATTACCAAAGCAAATTGACTGCTCAGGTTACAGCAAGGCAACAGTCTAACAGAAAATCCTGATTCGCCAATACAAATGTTCAGCAGAAAATTACTTGGCTCTGCATTGAACGTACAAAATCTTGCTACACCCCTCTTGGCTGCCAAAGAGCTGCAGTGGAGCACTTCCAGTTAGCTTGGCGGACAGCTCACTTTGGACAGGCGAAAAAAATTACATTTAAACTCTACTCTAGTTGTAGTAAGATGGTCAGCATGTCAATACTCAATAAAAGCAATAAAGGCAATGTAAACTCAAAGCACAAACAACACACACACACCCACTTTCATACATATATTTTTAGCCATAAATAAGTAGTTTTTTTCTCTTTATGCCAACGCAATCAAACTCACCACAATGCCTTGTCAAATGGCTCGTGAAATCCCTCACGCGACATTCGCATATATTGGCCCCATGTTAAATTGTTCCGATCGAAAATGTAATTGTAGACAGGTAATTCCTCCTTGGATTCCGTATCACTTTTGCGCAATAAAAATCTGTCGAGAAACATTGAGAAACAAACAAAGCACTGAGTAAAGTACAATATGCCACATACGAATGTAAGTATATATATGTTCAGATGTATATATAAGAAGTAAAATAAAGTTGGTTGGTTGGTGGTGATCAAAGCAAAGCAAAGGAAAAAGGAGAAATGTTGAAAAGGTTAAACACTGACAATGGCGTAGCAAAATTACTCGAGGGTAAATGTCCAACTGCTGTAAGTAAACGCACACATACACACACTTCTACATACATTTATGTATGTCTTTATGCATTTACAAGCCATTTGTAGCAATAAATTTCACTAACTGATAGCCCAGACGTTTGCAACTTAATTTGTTGCATGCAACTCGATTGCAAGCGGAGGGAAAACAAATGTTTGTCATTTGAGCAATAAGCAATGGTTCCACAAACGTATATAAATATGCGCAATTGGATGTTGCTTCTTACTAGCTTAGCTAATAGCGATGTTACGCTGAGATTCAGGGAGTTTGAAGGAATTGAGTTGGAAAAAAATTAAAAGTTCCGGGCACAGGCAATGACTGCCGTAAAACACCTGAATTTTAAGCTTTGACGCATATCGATATCTCAGGTAAGACTAGCTTGTAGGCGACTGACACAGTATCTGATTGAGTGTAGCGTAGAGTTTTACGACTGAGCGATATCCGAACGATTAGCATCAAACACGAGTCTGCAAATCTGAACAAACGATCAATAGCACCATCGCCATCTTACATATAGTTTTAGCAATATTTGTAAGACTTGACTTTCAACCGATCTTCATATTTACTAATCTGAAATTGTTCCCACAAAAAGCGTTATGTGTAAACTAATCAGTCGTGCCAGATCTCCTGATCAACCCACTATTCAACCCAGGTCAAAGCAACTTGCAAAACGCGAAAATTTTAGTAAGAATGGAATCATTTAATCTTTAACCGATATAATACAAGTATATCTACAAATTTCCTAATGATGATCGCTGCACTGATCTTCATTCCGGTGCACGCATGTTCCTACCAGCGTATTTACCCATCGACCTTTCCAACTATCTATTCCTGAAGTAGTATTCGCGAAGTATGTACTTATTAAGACGTCCAGTGATCCGTAAAGTTGTTCTCATATCGTGGCTATGTAGACAATAGAGGGACCTACAGTTTATACTAAGAGGCCTTCGAACGGCGGATGGGTTTTCTATGAGGAGTTTTATTTCATGTCAGAAATACAATCGGAAGGGTTGACATTCCCGATATCAAGCGCAATATTTACCATAACTTTGACGCTAGTATTGGGCTAACTCGCAATGTACCAAATTTTGTTAAAGAGGGCCACCCAGCTTAAATGTATCTACTGCTTAGCTAGTGTTGAATTATCCTGCGTTTTTCACTAGAAAAATTTCTATTAAACGTAATAGACTTAACTATTAACTGTACAGGACGACCAAACTGCTCCAGATGATAAACCCCTTCGATTTCCAACCTCTACTACAGTATATAGGGATGGCCAACTTGCGGAACTCTCCTTAAAACTTCCCCACTAAAACAATTTTCCGCAATGAACAACCTCTTGTCAGATAAATGCATTCGGATTCCTCTTATCGAGGGGTGGAGCTTTGTCCAACAATATCTTAATTACTTTTTTATGGCAACAACAAGTTTAAATATCCAAACACTCGAAAACCTTTTGATCTTGTGCAAGCTAACGGTGTTTCAGGCCACCAGCAACAACTTTTTGGTGCGCAAAATGCCACAGTTCACTTACTGAAATTATCTGAAATAAGGATTTCTCGTCGTTTCAATGAAACTTTATTTTTTTTATATTATATTTGCTCTCATAATTTTTACAGCCATTTTTTTTTTTTTTTTTTTTTTTTTGGTAATGACGCTTTTTCTGTATTAGTCAAATGTACTTAAATTCATAATAATGACTTAACTAAAAGTTTTCTAAACTACCCGCATCCTTGCCATTTTGCTTAAGCTTAAGCCTCGCCCAAAGGAATACTCTTTAATATTCTAATGAATACAAATGAGTCGCAGATGTGTATGTAATTCTGTACCTAACTAAGTATGTGTATGTATGCCTCATTGCACACAAACGACCACTGCTATTATTTACAGTTAATGCAACGGAAAATGCCCACCAGTTCACAGCCACTTTGAAGTGAAAACTTCTTATCAGTTTTTGCAGAGTTTTTGTTGTTTAACTAACTACATACACCGTATCTTCATTTCATTTCATTTTGCTACAGTTTAGTTTTCTACTTTGTTTTTTACTATTTTCTTATAAAACTTCGACACAGGCAATCAAGAATGAGAAGGCAATTTGTTGATATCACACAAGTGCATACGACTAAGTGTGTATGTATGTACATATCCACAATTTACTGTTCAACAAAACTCTTTGCAAAACTCTCGCCTGCCAACTCTCTACCTGCTCTCTCTCTCTCCCTCTCACTCATACATACACACTCACCTTCTCGCTATATCCCATGCACTGGCAATCATTGCATTGACACAGTAATCTGCCGGCACCATATTGGCCTTGCAATTTGCCCGACCGTAGATGCAGCGCACCAGACCGCGCGCCGACCAAGTGCACAAACCTGATGGCCCATACAAATTATCAGTCCAGCCGGGAAATGGATCCTTGTAGGTTGACATAACTGAAAATAAATGAGAATTAATGTGTTGCTAAGAGTTTGCATACAAATAATCTCCGATATGTGCCTGTATGTGGCTATATGTGACTATATATATATATATATATGTGTGAGTGTGTGTCTTAAGCACAAAATAGTGATATTTAAATATGTTGGCATCTTCCAATCAATTTGTTAGGGTGTGTCTTTTGAAAGTTGGCAATGTAATATAAGTATTAACTCTCTTAGCTCAGTTCTAAGAAGAGATCCAAATAAATAGAAGGACGATAAGGTGCGTCTGCTACGTACCCCTCGACACTGCAGAGGCTTTACGTGACCTTTCTGTTAGAAACTTCGGGCAAAGCTCAGTTCAAGCCACATTCGAAAAGGCTGGTTGCGACCAGCCACCTTGACTAACAAATTATATACAGTTGAATTGAAAATGACTAAGCGAGACGGCGGTGGGTTGCACTGAGTTAGACCTCAGGCAACCATTTAAGCTCTTGGATTATTACCGAATTTTCCAAACGGATATCTTGGCGATCGCGCAGCTTGTGAAAACCTTAAGAAGCCATCAACATCAGTATATACGTTACTGCCAGGTGCAGTTCATGCATATGTCTCACATTGTATTAAGTCAAAATTGTCGTTGACCGCAGTAAAGGAGTGAATAAGAAGGCAACAGGGGAGCCACTGCATATCTATGGGGTTCCAGTTCTCAAGTGCATTGCGGGAAAAGAAATAGACGATGACATTGTAAAAAGGTATATCCGTTTGGCGACCGTACAAGTACTTGCCATACGGGAGTAGTCAAAGACTATATACAATGAAATTTTTGGAGGATATAGAGTACCTTAGCGGCAAGCAAGTTTGCGAAGATCATGTATTTTTGTAAGGAAAGCTCACTCACTCATGTGGGAAGTGTTTCTACAAGGCTATATCTTGAACTGGTCTTAGGCATCCAAAAGCTTCGTAGTTCAGCGGAATAGTGGAAGGGATTTTTAAACAAGCTCTTTCTCCAATTTTTGACCAGACGCACTTAGGAAAATATAATTTCTTACAAACGCCAGACGGCAACTTCGAGTCTAGTGTTATTTTTAGAATATCACAGAGAAGATTTCTCCATGTGAAGCATATCAGATTAAGTTAGATTGCAGTGCCTACGACTAACGTTACAACTCAGATCGGAATTAGAAGTACTGTGATGTCTCTAGTTCCTGGCCACGAAGCTTTACTAATCAGCCACTTACATACATGGGTAAGCTTAAAAAGATCATTAGCATTATCTTCTGTTATATTATAAAGACCATTTCAAAAAAAGGTGGCGGCATAATCCTATCCTTGGACTTTTTCTCCTAATCATAATTTTACAGAGCTTCCAGTCTCTATGTGCTCTATGTGGCATATGGTCTTATCAGTCATTTATTAGCAGCAAATGGAGTAATCTCTGAGCTGAGTATCCTGCAAGATGCCTAGTTTTGTTCATGAGGTCACTCTGAGCTTTCTTCGCGTCTAAAAATAAAATAAACCGGTTCTATTATGCAGAAAAAAAAGATGCCGAATCCACTAACAAACGAAACTAGTCTTCAGGCTACTGAACAAAGGTCCACGGAGTTTAACGCACTTGTTCAATATCATAAAAGCAGACTCAGAATATATTTGTGATAAGTTGAGTCACAAGAAAGGTGCTGATATCTTGAAAAGTAATATATTTCATGAGAATATTAACAAAGCATCATCCGGAAGCAGCTTCAAACTTTATTGATGACGACTTAACTTCCAATTTAGACCCCGATGACAGCCCGAAAGGGTTAAATTTCAACAAAAATAAAGTTGAATCTTCTTTTGTTGTGGTGAGATGAGAGTACCGAGAGAATTATAGGGCGGTAAGTACTTTGAAACAACGCTACTTGAACTGCAGTTCCCTGGAAGCCTCTTATCTGGAACACCCTAATAAGCCATTTTTGCTACTTTTGTGTTGTTTATCTCTCTTTATGTATACATATATAGTTAAGTATACATTTTTTTTTGTTTTTGCTATGGCAGCTTTTTTGAAAAAGTTTCAGTAGACAACAACACTGTTGTAAGCAATATGTAGAGCGAGTCAAATCTGTACTGTAGCAGAGAAATTTTTGGACAAACCGTATCTTTTTTAAATTTTTTTCTTTGTGCGCTTTAACCTTTATGCTTGTTTTGCTATCTCCATTTTCTTAGTCATTTAATGGTAAAAAATAGTTAAGAGTCACTTTTGGGAATCCACAGGCGGGAATAGGAGTAAAACAAATTGTTGGTCTCAGCAACTTTCACTCACACTCCCATACTGCGCTTCCTATTCATTTTCACTTGGTAATCACGGCATCAAAGATTTTTGCTGGCTGCATATATTTGAGTGTGTGCTTTATATAATATTACAGACTTTTTGTTTTATGATTTTATTTATTTTATTATTTTTATTTATTTTTTTTTTTTTTTGGCTTCTTAGTGCTAAATATTTCGCTGTATTTTGTTGTTGTTTTGTTTCAAATTTTGCAACTTTGAATGTTTTTATCTCTGTTTGTGCTTAACGAATAAGTTTGCTGTGCATTTACCTTGTCGCTTAGAGCATATATATGAATTGTGCATGCACTCGCATATACATATATATGTGTGTATGTATTTACCGCTTATAGATAAAAAGCAAACTCTGTCCTTATTGCAACCAATAGTTAGTTTCTTTTATGTGCATTGAGTCGTTGTTGCATTTGTGCATAACGGAAAATTTCGTATCTCTAACAAATGTGTCCTCTGGGACATTTATGCCATTGAAGTGTGAATGTACGTGTGTTTGAAAAGTTTTTTCTTCTCCTTTAGTAATATTTATTTCAGTTTGGTATTTGCTGCCTTTGTGACAACCGATGCTCTGGTATTTTTGGTATTTTTTAAAGAGCAGTTTGTACTAACTACAAGTCAGATCTTATCTTAAATACAAGAGTAGGCGACAGATTTCATATTTTAGAAATTTTTGGAAAACTTTCTACTCAATTTAAAGAAATTTGTGAAAAACTTGTGTTGCAGTGGATGTATGAGTTGCATCAAATAAAAATTAATAATATATTTGTAAATAAAAACAATGAAAAATATAAAAAATTGTGTGACTGTAATTTAAGTTGGCCTGAGGCAGTCACTTAAAGCTTCGATTAGAGTTCAGCCTCTGCAGCTTGAATGCTTCTCCTAAAAACTGTCATTTTACCCACCTATTGGCGGTCTAAATATACCCGCTGGCATAAAAAATGCACGATGATTTACTAAATTCTCAGCGCACTTCTTGGTCATCGTATATGTATTAGGCATACCGCCAATCAGACAGTGGCGAAATTTTTCCAGTGTTTCATCATCGAAGATGCGAAAAATCTGTAAACAAAATGCATAAAACAAAAAGTTTATAAATAAATAGGATTATCCACCTTTTTTCGAACTCGAAAATAAATGTAAATAAAATAAATTTTTCTCGATTTTTTTATTATAAATTTTTAACCTTTTTTTATTATAAAGTTTGGAACTTGTAAATTACTGGAACACTCAAATGACCACCGTGCGAATTATGGTAATTAGAGTAATTCTCAAAAACATTCTGGCACAAAATGGGCGAAATCTCAGTCATAACTTGATGAATGTAACTGTAACTGTTCCAGTGTCTTCAAATTTCTTTAAAATTCTTCTTCTGGCTTGAATAGATGGCGAATTATGTGCAGCATAATCTCTTTTTAAACCGCGATAAGTAGTCACATTTAAACGAACTTAATTTTTAATAAATTAAACGCATTTCAAAGCAAACTCATTTTCATAAATGTTAAAATACAGCCTGTACTTTTGAGATCACGAAAAGATTAATCCTGTTTATGCTTAAAATTTCTAATAAATAAGTTGAATTTGAAAAAAAATTTAATTTTTTTTTTAATTTTTTCTAGAACCAAACATTTGCCTCATTTTAGCTAAAACCAAAGAAAATTAGTAAAAATCATTTTCTAAACTACTAATATTTTTTTTTGCATTAAAAGCTGTCTAAAATTAATTAATATCGTATATGGTTATGTACCGAAATTTTAATCAAACTTTATTTCAGAGAAAACCAATTAAATCAAACTAGCATTCATCATATGTATGAATCTCAACGTGTTCAGACACACTCAAAATATTTCAATTAGATTTTGTCACGTGTCGCAGTTGATTTATTTTTTTCTCTCATGATTTTTTTAATATTATTTTATTTTTTTAATTACATTTTTGGACATTTTTTTCAATATTTTACCGATTTCTGTTTGCTATGTGATAAAATGTGATTTGATTTTTAACCAAAATTAATTTAAATCACCATTTTTTAACACAAACATTTTTATCAACAATATTTTTTCAATACAAAATCTGAACATTGAAATACATGTAGTTAAACTGCTTCATTCCAACTTTCAACTGCTTCGATAGAATTACCTGCATGATTTTCTCGTAGCCAATATCGCTCTCATATACACGTTCTTTGATGTATTTCCTATTGCAATTGCAGTAGAGTGTGGAGATGTGTACAAAAGACTTTGAAAGAGAGAACATAAATAATACCATATTTCAAATGTATACGTGTATATGCATTATATATATATTAGTTGGTATATTGTTACACATTTTTACATATTATTATCAATTTAAAATCCCAAAATAATAAACAATATTAAAAAAATATCCTTTATTTTATTTTATTTTGCATTTTATTAAAAAAATTCGATTATTTTTACCTTTAAGTTTTTCATTTCCATTGAGAGATCTAGTATCTTTTTTGTACCCAAAACATTTATATCGATGGCATCACTGAGTTTTTCGTTAAATTTTACTGAAGCAACAACATTGAAAACGATCTAAAAATACAAACATATGTGTCATGAACGTATATAAATATTTCATGGTATTTTAGAGCGAAATTAATTAAACGATACAGATTATTTTTTCTTTTTGACAGGTTAGTTTTATGGCCAGAAAACTAAGAAGAATTCTAAGTATAATTAGTAGTGTTTTCAAATTCAAAAGGAAAGAGGTGAGTTAGTTAGTTTGTTAAAGAGGAAACTCGACTGTGGATTCCTGATCTAGCACACTTAAGCCTATTAGCCCGTTGAGATATCTATATTGGGCCTCCTTAACAGGCTTATCATTTAACTTCTCTCACCTTAACAATTGCTAAGCACAAAAGATGTGTTCTATGCAGTTCATGAGATTATTGAAAGCTCCGCAAGATAAACGTAGTAAAAATTGCAGAGAAAGTGGTAATGCTCCACTGATTTCTCCTCTTCAATATTCCTGCAACTGCAGCAAAAGTGTTTAAAGAAGAAGCTCAAGCTTCCACCATTATGTCCATTGTTATGCTTAGGGAGCTCTTATAGTTTTTCTTTTCTTTTCGATTTTTCTGGTCACATTTCAATGCGAGGACCGTGGCTAGAACGATTGCCATTTTAGCCTGCTGTACAACTTGGCAGTTCACTGGGATGCTTTTGTGACCAGGTACACAAACCATGGACGTTTCGCATGCAGTTGAGAGTTTGTTTGAGATTTCTGAACATCCTATTGCCACATTTGAGGTGGTATGATTGCTTCGGAGAGACTTATTACTACCCTGACTGGCATAACAATATTTTACAAAAGTTTGAGTTGTCGTAATAGAGTTGAATAACCATGATTTTCGATACACAACTGTTACATATTCCGATTCATTCCAATTAATGATTTTTTTTCGAGAAAGTGTTGTCAAAACAGAAGCGGAGTGCCCCAATTAACCTCTTTCGTTAAATATTTGGGCGTGTTTTATGCGGTTTCTCTACAGTAGAGTTGCATTTAGTATTATGACCTTGCAATACTCGCGTGAAGTTTTCCGTAAATGCTTACTGGGAGAAGATCTAACAAAATTTCAAGATATTTTGTACAGGTTGAAGGCAGCACTGGCAGTAGTTAACTTAAAAACAATATCTCTTGATCACTACACTAAAGTTGTGCCAAATTCGGGTCGCCTGGCTAAGCAAAATCGTTTTCTGAGTGTGCTTCTCCTCCCTGAATGGGACATGTGAGTTCATTGTTGCGTTTTGTTGTAAAAAGGCGGTCTATTAGGCCGGTTCACCAACTATATAACACTTCTGATGCTCATATATACTGACACCCAGTACAAGTGTGAACATTGCTTTTCTCAGCCAGCCTTTTGTTGGTCTCCTTATTTAGTACATCGACGTATGTAAAATTCAATTCTATGTAGGCATACATGGCGACGCCGATAGCCGAGCAGTTAGCATTGCGTATTGCCATTCAGAAGGTCAGGGTTATAGAAAAATAGATGAAAAAATTAAGTTAATTTTGCGGTCACCCCTCGGCAGGAAATGTCTACTAAGAGTGTCTTAAAATAAATAACCTCATAAAAAACCAACAAACCATTTGGAGGCGGCTTAGTATAAACTGTAGGGTCCTCCATTTTTTGGGAAAACCTCCAGAAAACCACAATTTCGAGGATGAGCCTAGCCGAAGACCACTTAGGAGGTTACAAAACGTCAATTATATATAAATATAAAATATAGGCGTGCAATAGGCCTACTGCCTCTTTACAGCAAATATTTTGGATTAGAAGGCACCACAATGGTGTTTAATTTAAAATGACCCTCTCATGTCTAGTTGGATATCATAAGCCGCAGGCTTCACTCTACTTTTCATTTGGTCTATTACTTTGGGATAACCCTTTACGCCGCTATGTCCTGCTTTTCTGCTAGCTTGCAGCGTATTTGTCAATACATTCGCTAATCGTAAACTCAAAATTGATTGATTGATGATTGAAAGATTGCGTTCTTTGAGTGAACCGGTAATGGTGTTTCCTGAAACTCCCTGTCGAGACGAAACCGCCATAAGAAAAAATAATTTTCTATACTCTTGGATGTTGGTCGAAAGAGGACTCTAGCACTGGTCCTCAGAGTAGCAGTACACTATGCTAACCACTCTCGCGGCAACTGATTTAGGACAGTTGTTTTTGTTTCAAGATTCTGGCAAAATCAGATGGATAACTAACACCAGAACTAGTTTTTATCCACACGATGAAAACTGATTCGGTACATGAAGAGTCTTACAAGATTTTCAATTTAAAAAATTTAAAATTCAATTAAAATCTATCAAAGTAGACACATTTTTTAAAGCAGCATTTTTTGTTATGAAAATAAATTCGTTAAAAAAATTACAATCTTTGAGTAATTAGAAATTCATGGGATTTTAATACAAAATTATGCCGAAATACACCGAAAAAAATATTTAGAATTTCCGAAATTTAAAAAAAACAAATGTTTTCAACTTCAAGTACTTACCTCCACGTCTTCGCACAGCTTTTCCCTATCTTCTGGCGATATACCCAAATCCAGTGCGCTATAATCCACACGCACAGCATGCACCTTCTCCAACAGCTCTGGTTGTTCAACGCGAATAGCATCAAATATCTGACAGAGAAAAATGTTTATATATTTCCTACCAACAGTAAATACTTATGTATGTACATATACACCCTTAGACACAACCTGCTGTCCATTAACACTATTAACTTACCGATTCACGAAGAAAATTCGCCAAACGCTCCTCGACGCACACATCGTTCTTGCAACGGATTAGCATATAAATTCTACGCAACTCAAATGCACGCAACAGTTTTTGTGTCAGCACCTTACCAACGAAGCCGGTGCCACCGGTGATGAGTATAGTGGCGTTGCGATAAAAATCACTAATTGGTGTGGCTGCTGTCACTGTCTCTTCGACACCACTTTGCGCGTTTGCGGTTGTCGCGACTGATGCTGCCGCCGAGTCTGTGTACGCTTCAATTGGTATTGTACTTAACGGCGCCGCTGCTGATGCTGATGATAACGCTGATGATGATTCATTACAGTGCGGTGTTGTAGTGGTTATTGCATGTGTTGTTGTTGGTGTTACAATTAAATTTGCAATTTCGTTGGCATCTCCGGCATGCGTTGTTGTTGCTGTTTTTATACTATTATTGCAATTGTTTTTGGTCACTTTATGTGGGTGTAAAGTTTTATTGGCGGTTTGTTCGTTGCAATCGATTGCGGCCATTGTATTTACATGTGTGACTGTAGGTGTTGTAAATTCACTAACACCCATACCACCACTGCCAAGGCTATTTTCAATGGTAAGCTCACCATTGCTGGACTTAATTAATGAGGACGCTGCTGTTTCGTGCATTTCGGAGATGGCAATTTCTAATGTGAGAAAATTTTTATATCTTCAACAAAGTACGTATATAAAGACACAAAAGTATAAAATAATTTCTTTGGTTCAAAGCGTAAAAATATTTGTTAAAAAAAATAGTTAAAAATATTTAATATTATTTTGCGTAGAAGGAATGAAAAATATGAATTTTATTATTTTTTGCTGCAAGATTACAAAAAATAAAATTATAAAGCACAACATTTATTTCAAATTGTTTTAACGCCGTTTTTAAATTTTTCACACTTTAAAATATGCTTTGTATTCTATGTTTTTAACATACGCTCATTGTTATTTAAACTGCACATTTTCCTAAAAAAAATTTTATTTACTTTATTTCTTTTATTGTATTTCTGTTTTAATAAAAAAAACTCTTTTTATATAAATTTATTTCATTAAATACTCCTTTATCCTTTAAATCACTACTACAACTGAATGAGCTTAAATTTTTCTTTAATAACCCAACTAAGGCAAGTGACAGCAACAAAAGCCAACACATTTATATTAACATTTATTCTCCCACTGAAATCAATAAATGACAATGGATATGTTTTTAAAATTTTCCCACCATAACAAAAGTTATTTGTTTAAAGTTTTTCCACCAGCCCTCAATGCCTCAATGCCGCCTCATATTTGCCTAGTATATCCCATATATGTACGTATATATACACGTTATATCAGTACAAGTATATAAATATATGGTAACGAATTTTACGTTTGTAGGTGAGTGCACAATGGAAAGTGAAAGTGATATCCTTATGTGAATATTTGAGGATTAAATCTATAAGTAATAGTAATCGACAGCATATAATTTAACCTCCCCCTGCGGTGACCACATGATTTAAATTTACATACTCACATACTCGTAGATACTTAGAGAGCAAAATATTAAGTTGGAACTGTATTAGTTAAAAATTAATATAGCTGCTAAAGCTCTACAGCTCTTTTATTCTGAGAATATGGAAAAGAATTTTTTCTACATTAATATAAAGGTTGTCAAATATCACTCTTCCGCTTTTTTGCTCTTTATTGCTTCAATGCCTTATAAAAAGTGTTACAGTGATCGGATTTAGTTAAAATATGCGCCATTTTGTTGGATGATCTGTTTCCATCTCGACGGCAACTTCATAATACCTTCCTCGTAGAAGCCCCCCTCCTTATTTGCGAAGCATTCGGACAGCCACTTCTCACAAGCCTCTTTTGAGTTCAACTTCACACCACCAAGGGCATTCGCCATGGACAGGAACAGGTGGTAATCACTTGGCGCTACGTCCGGGCTATATGGTGGATGCGATAAAACCTCCCATCCGAGCTCCCGTAGCTTCTGACGAGTCATCAACGAAGTGTGTGGTCTGGCGTTGTCCTGGTGGAACACTACACCCTTCCTGTTGGCCAATTCTGGACGCTTCTGGTCGATCGCCTGCTTCAAGCGGTCCAGTTGTTCGCAGTAGATGGTAGAATTAAGCGTCTGGCCATATGGGAGCAGCTCATAGTGGATGATTCCCTTCCAATCCCACCAAACACACAGCAAAACCTTCCTGGCCGTCAATCCCGGCTTGGCCACTGTTTGGGACGATTCACCGGCCTTCGACCACGACCGTTTTCGCTTGATATTGTCGTATGTGATCCATTTTTCGTCGCCAGTCACCATCCGCTTCAAGAATGGGTCGAGTTCGTTCCGTTTCAGCAGCATATCGCAGGCGTTGATTCGGTCCAGAAGGTTTTTTTGCGTCAAATTATGCGGCACCCAAACATCAAACTTTTTTTTGTATCCAGCCTTCTGCAGATGGTTCAAAATGGTTTGGTGACTAACTCCCATCTCCTGGGCGATGTCACGAGATGCCATATGCCGGTCTAACTAGATGTATTCCATGATTTGATCGGTATTTGTCGTTACAGGTCTTCTGCCGGCTGGCTTATCCATGGTGTCGTTTTCACCGGCTCTGAGTCGTCAAAACCATTCCTCCGCGGTTCGAAGTGATAGAGAACCACCCCCCAAAACACCATTAATCTCACGGAACGTTTCTCTAGCGGATTTGCCTTTAACGAAGGAAAACTTTAAAATAAATTTCGGCGTAAGTGAACTCCATGTTTACACGTCTATAACGGTCATGCATAGCGTGGTTTTGTAGGTTATGTTAAGACCTTTCAAATTATGTATAGTGTTGCCAGATACGAGCTCTGTAGCGCTTTGTACATAGCCGCGAAATTCAAATTCAAAGATGGAGATATTTGACAACCTAATATTAATATTTTTTTATATATTTTGCTGAAGATAAAAATTGTATAACTGTCAAACCAAACTCGTCTAAATTGTTAGAACGTCGTAGAAAATTGTTGATTCATGCTTTAAGCGGAGATAATGGCCCATACTTGCCCAACTACTTAAGAAACTGGTAAGGTTTCAAAGAACTTTTAAGAACCCAGATCGGTTACTGATATCTTAATGTTTTTGCCTAAGTGTTTTGCTCATATCACTTTAAATATCGCTACTGTAGGTGAAAGTGCTGCCAAAGACACGAATGTTTATATTACCCGACGTTTTCAAGAGCTGCGATTTACACACTATAGCGAATTTTGCCCTTGGACTTACGAGTATATTTACAGCTATATAAGGTCCAGTTCACACAGCAACACACACAGACGTACATAAGTAAATTTGTTGCTTGAACAACAACCAGTGGACGGCGATTTCTGGCATATCTCTCACTCGCAGGATAAGCAAATGAGATAAATTCTCACATTTGTGGCTCTGAAAATCATAAAAAGTTTAAAAAAAATTATAATTTCACCCAAAAACCTTACTGTCTGTGTACTTTTTGCCTTCTTTGGAAACGTTTCCGCCGGGACTGGCAGAGTCAATTCGTAGTATTATAGTCCTATGACAACCAACTTTTTTTTTTTGCCTGCAACTAAAGACCACGATTTGAACAATATGTGGTATCAACAATGCCACATGCCCCATAGCATGAGTGAATAAGGCTTTGTTGCGAAAGAAATTTTCCGGCCGTGTAATCCGCCGTCTTTGCGATGGCATCGATTGACCATCGGAGAAACCTTTAACTTTTCAGCACTAAGAAACAACGCTCCTCAGACCATCGCTACCCATACAACCCAATATATGTCAAGGAGTAGTCGAAATTTACCTCAAACGAGTAGAAGTTTCCGAAAATTCGCGAATCATTTGAATAAAATTATAAATTAAAAATTTTTTTTAATGAATTTTATCAATGTTTATTTTCGAAACCGTCAAATAGATAACCGACCATTAAGAGAATCATCGATATAGCAAGTAAGAGCAAAAATTTGATTCTCTTGGAAAATTTTTCGTAGAAGAAAAATTATTTTAGGCTCTTTTGAAAGAGCATTGATACTAATACATAGGCGAATAAATATTTTGCTGTAAAAAAATCTTAGCATTAAAAGCTGTTAGTTCCTCCGAGGCGACTTAACTTTTTTCAATCAGTATTTCTCTTGCAAACTTCGAATTAAGTTGAGTTTTTATCTCAACAAATACAGACCAAATCCTTCCGATTCCTGTCTTATTTTGCAAAGGCGTGGGCTCTGATAACATTGGATGCCTTGGCGTTAAATGTTTTCGAAGAAGAAAATGTGGATTGCATATAGGCGACGCAAAACAACACAGATAATGACATTGGAGTAATACAACGACTGGTTCATGTCACCCACCAAAACATTACTGTTTTTGAAATTTTTCCGCAGTACCCGCTGGTATACGCGGAAGATGGGGATGATAACTAAGCACCTGGCTTAGCTTGGTATCTCCAACTGGTGTTGAACGAGTGGAAAAAAACGACTGACATGCTAATGTGGATCTAGTTACAAATGGGTAAGATGTGACTACGCCAGTGAAGAAGAAAAAGCGAGTATGATCTTTTGTGTTGGTCGCTATTTTTACTACAAAAGTCTGTTTCAAGACTTTCCAAGTTACATTTTACATTGCTGAAAACATAAAAAGATTTGTTCGTCGTTAAGTACGGATTAGCGAAAATATAATAAGTTATACGTTTTTTTAGAAATAATTATACTTTATTGGTATCACTAAACATTTCGAAAAACCCTGGTTGAGAGCCACCCTTATATACGCAATTCCCTTTCAAAAGGGTACAATAATATTGCACAATAAATACCATTGTTATATGTTATCAAAGTTTAAAACTCATACAGTGCCTTACAATACACTTTCGGTAATTCAACTTTCAATCAAAGCCTCTACAATAACCCGAAAGTTGTACGAGCTTACCACTTGAACTTTATATTTGAATTAAAGCTCACAGCTGGCAACCGCTAGAAGTAAGAAACTAGTGTGCTTAACGTTGCTTAAATTACAATGAAATGTAAAGCTTTTGAACCGACAGCGGTAAAAAGTATTAAAAAGCTTAATTCTAAAGCTTCTAATTTGAACTTTTTATAGGTGTGTTTATGGTTTTGGCCAAATTATATTAAATGTTGTGGCTGGTTATTTGTATGTGTGGGTCACTTTATGGCTACTCAACACCTTTCACGCAAATATCGATATGCATATCTCGAGGTTATACAAACCATTCGAATCTATGTTTACTCACAATACAGTTAAATGTGGCTTATTGGCCACAGTCACAGAATAATAAAATGGCATAGTGAACATACCTACGCACGATCTATGCTTTGATTCAAATCATACTTATTTCATGCCCTTCTGTTGGTGTTCTCTTTTCCGGTCTGTAATCTATTTTCTCCAAACTAAGCTATTTAGGCAACAAGCTAAGCTCCTGACCAAACTGAATCATATATATTAACCTAGTAAAAAGTAGACCATTATTTCAAAAAAAATTGGGACAATTGATTTTCACAGGCTGCTTTTGGGGCCAATTAACACCAGCCCAATCATTCGTCATGGACAAGAACAAATGGTAATCACTTTGTGCGAGGTACGAACTGTAAGGCGGATGCATAAGAACAAAGCTCTGCAATTT